ATATATATATATACTGGATGAGGCAAGCCTTAAAAATCTGAAAGTAACGGATACATTAATTCAAACCAACGGGAACCAGTGCAAGGTCCATGGTTGAAAAACCACACTAAACGAATACTGAGACTAATTTCGAACTCATGTTATTTTTTCAATCATTGCATCAAATATTCTCTTTTTAAGCAGATTTTCAAACCGTCCGTCATCATCCATAGAAGAATCATTTTAAAGCTTGACGGTCATTAGCTATGTCAATTTTTAACCGGTCTCTTGCAGTTGCTTCAGTCTAAATTCTTGCAGACCAAGTCCACGAGATCCAGTTTCGACGCATACATGTGTACCTGAGTTGAAATTGATCGCTAACTTCCCCTTGGCTCAACTTAACTTTCCTATTGGCCCATTTGCACATGACATTGGGAGGTATGAGGTAGACTTGTTGGTTCCCTTCAATTTAGAAAAAAACAGATTAGTGGGTCTTTTTTCAGCTTCACTCAACACTGGTCCGGGTATCATGCCCCCGCTTGTTTTCAAACTGCATGACACTTGGGCGGAGCTCGGCATTTGCACAATGGAATGGAATTTTCGAAAGTTATGACGTGTCCCTGATGGACTAAAGCAATCGGGGAGTTGAGAGTACCAGTCCAGACTTTTGAGCCCCATTTGGGCATCCCGGGTATTCATCGACGCCGGGAAATTATCCCACAGGACTTTTTAGCCAGAGGCATGGCTGCTTCAGTGAACAATGAAATTTAGTGGGCTGAAAAAATATGGAAGCACATACGCAACAAAATGCAACATTTTGGCGTAGAAAGTTTCGCTCCACTTGTAAAGGTTTTGCAGCTGAGAGCATTGTGCGGATAATGAGCACCTGCTTGGATGGTCTACAAACCCCTTGATTCGGGCTACACGACCTTCCCGTTTTCGGACAACCGCATCATAGTCGTGAACAGAGCAGCGCCACCATGTTAAACGAAAGCGTTGGATCTAGGTGCAGACCATTGGTAGCCTAGTGGGGAAAGCGAATTGAAATCGGTTGGTCAGTTACATCTTGGTGAATTAAAACGGAAACATTCTTAAAGACACCTGGACACAACGATAAAGCAGATCAGGAAATCTGAAGACTTTTTCAGGAATACTCCCGATAACTAAAACCCTTCGATTTTCAGTTTATGATTGTTGTAGTTCACTAAATCCCTCGTCATCAGAATAAAAATAAATAAGGAATGTACTATTCATAAGGTTGCTGAAAATCCATCCGCAGTCCACGACCGGTTTCGCCCTTCTTGGGGCTCATCGGGTAGGTGCAGTCCCCGAGTTTCCGTCAACCTTATGTTCTACTTGAAACCAAATTGCACGAAATTGGCGAATATACACTCATCTGCAAACTAATTTGGTTCTTTCGAGAGACTCACCTGGAACCCAGCTGAATCTCTCGTTAATGATGTTCTCAGG